AGAGATTGTACCTGCTAACAAGCATGTGCCACCATGCCTAGCTTTCTACATGTGTGCTGTGGCTCAAACTGAGGTCCTCATGCTTGTGTGTTGTGTTCCCCAGGGGTCCTGGTTCCTCCAAGGGGTGGGGCCTGCTGCAGAGAGTTGACTGTGGAGAGTTAGAATCGGAAGGAGGGGCTTGTGGTGCCATCTTGGGACAGGGGCCCCGAGCCATCAGGAATGCCAGGAATGTGTGGCAGCAGCTGGGCGTACTCAAGGACAGAATGGCCTGGCACTTATGGACCTGGGGCGAGACCACTGGCCCCTGAGGGGTGGGCGAAAGCTAGCAGTGACTATGGGCATGCCTTGGGAGCAATCTGGTATGGCAGTCTTTGAGCTGCAGCACAGAGCTGGGCTTCCCAGAGCTGAGCAGGGGAGCTAGGCACTGGGTGTTGTAAGTCACTCCCTTCCCCCCCTCCACAATGATAGTAATAAATTTACATAAAGATATGTTATATGGTTTGCCTGATAGTGCAGGAGACCTAGAGGGAACTTTGGTGATAAACTGGCATAGTCCGGCTGGGATAAATGAACCACAGCCTTGGGGAAGTGGGTCTGGGAAAGCAGTGCTGTTCCTCCCACCTGTGTGGCGGGTCAGCTGGGCTCTGATTCCCAAATCCAGGAGGAGCTGCCAGGAACCCAGGGGAGAAGGCAATCAAACCCCATACACTTAATGGGGTTAGTGATAGTCAAGTGGGTTATACAATAAATTCTAAAATCTGTAACTAAAAAGAGGCCACCCAAGCAGAAGCATGGGCCACAGCTATGTTGTAAATGTGGGGGTATGTTGTGGGTATGTGAAGACTTGTTAAAGGTTATTCAGAGGCTACAAAAACTTTTACCTCCAAACAGAGTGCTCAGAGAGGGGGCCATGGCCACTTTGCATAATAAAAGCTGTGCCCCAGGCAGGGGAAGCTGAAAAGGCTAGGAAAGTCCTGGCAGATCCAGCTGCAGAGCTTGAGAGGAAAAAAAAACCAAAACACACCCAGGAAGGACACTTAACTCCAAGGACTCAGAGGAAGAGACAAATAATAGTAAAAAGGAAAATGACCTAAAAATAAATAAAAGTAGCTAAAGCTGCCCCTCAGATTCAACCGTTGATACAAAAGAAAAAAAAAGCTAACAGTGCTGTAGCTAGGAAATATTCCACACTAGAACTGTTAAAACTAGGAAAAACTTAGAAGCAAGCAAGCAGAGAGCCCCTGGCCACATAGCTTGTGAGAGTATGGGACAGAGGAGCAAATGACATTAGTCTAAGTCCTTCAGAGCTTCACAGCTGAGTTATAAAACCGCCCATCCAGCTTATGATGTAGGCTGTTCAACCTAGGCCAATGCAGAGGGGTGCAGTCCTTAATGGGGTGGCTGGTTGAAGAAATGGCTGTCACCAAGGGAGACTAACATGATTAGCAGGGGTTGCAGGACTATAAAGGAGGGGTAGGCATTACTGAGAGAACAAGGTATGAGAAAAGCAATATATGATGTCCAGTTCACTGGGCCAGATAAGACAGTGTTCACCAGAGATATGAAGGGAAGCTTGATTCAACTGGGACCTTGAGAATGGTATGGGGCTTTACTGGTTTTACTAAGCTCTTTAATGGGACAGGATCTTTGTAAAGTGAGACAGGCTTTGGCAAATCTAAATGATTCTGACCAGCGTGTAAAACGTGTCTGTAAAATAACAGAACACCCTGAGAGATATAAAAGAGACCAGACAGAAGAAATGGCCTATTTGGGTTACTCAAAGACAAATGTGGCAAGACATGTAGAGCCGAAATTCCCAGAGAAAAGATTGATAGAAAACCAAATTCGGTACTAAGGAGTTTCTGGAAGGCTTTAAAACCAGAAGAACAGTTTACAAAAGGCATTCAAAGAATAAAAACGGTTCTAGGGGTGGTTAAGAATCCCCAAGGATTAAATAAGATGCATTTCTCTTCTCATAAAGGCTATACTAGGGGTGGAAGCAGGTTTTCCCACCAAGTTCTCCCCCAGCAGCCAGGTGTGGTCAATGGAGAAAAGACAGATACGGGCCTGCCTGACTCAGAAAACCAGTAAGTGCAGCAGGGACAGGAGATGCCCCCTGCCTCCTTAGCCCAGTGCAGGGTCAGGCAACTGTACACCTGTAAGTGTATCAAGAATAAAAGAATACAAAGAAACTCCATGTAAAATCCCCCAAGTGTGAAATGACTCCAAAGGGATAACTAAAGATGATAAAGAGCTAACCAAATTAAAGCCTCATACCCATGCTATGGTACCTAACAAAAATCCATGGAAAAAAAACCTTTCCATGATATGTGAGACCTTGTCTATGATTGATTTGATACATAATGTTAACCTTCCTTCAAGTATTCTACAGATGTGAAACCCATTTGAAACATACCTGAAGAAGCAAAGGCCAGCTATAGCTGTAAGATTCTTGAGAGTTTTATGATTGGCTAAGAAAGGCAGAGACTCCCAAACTATACAACTGTTAAGAAAATCCACAGTACCAGGAGTGGGTTGCCCCCCTATGAGCTGTTGGTCAGAGAGATCCTAGAGGTCCTCCAATTCAGCAAGGCTATTGCCACTAATGTCAGTTGTACACTAGAAAGGTTGGTAAGGCCATGGTGCTGAGGACACTGCATGTTGTGAGTGCGGGAGAAGAGGAGATAAGGTTGAGACTAAGCCAAAAAACTCCATGCCACTGGATGGATGATGTTCATATTGCCAAAAGGCACTATGCAGATGGTTGGGAAAGAAAGGATCCCCTATGATTCTACTCAACAATGGACCCGGTGTGCTGCACACTATGGACATGCCAAGCAATACCTACAAGTGCAATAATGGCTTGACCACATATGTACAACTGCCAAATTTCTAACTAGATAAGGCCCACTCCTAGGAGTGGAACACACATCTGGTGCTGTAGACTAGGCTACAGGCCCTAGTGGGGAAGCCATCACAAGTACACTGTTTAATGAGTATAGTACACCTACTGGGATATCTTCTAGGCATCTGCATTTACATTCAGGTTTGTTCAAATGTCTACTTCCTCCCATTTGTCTTTATAGTAGAAGAAACACCACTGAGATAGATCAATGACCACGGCTTAAAGACAAATAATGGGGAGGCCCAAGAAGTCACTATCTTGCCACCATATAAGAGAGATCACCCTACATCTGTCACCCCCTCCAAGGCTCAGGGACCTTAGTGGAAGATTGGCAGAAAGATTGTAAGAGCAGAGGAAAGGGGTGGAGTGTGTTCCCCAGGGGTCCTCATTCCTCCAGGGGGTGGGACCTGCTGTGGAGAGTTGACTGTGGAAAGTTAGCCTCGCAAGGAGGGGCTTGTGGTGCCATCTTGGGATGGGAGCTGCCAGCCACCAGGAACACATGGTGGGTGTGGGGAACTAGCAGCAGCCGGGTGTACTCAAGGACAGAATGGCCTGGGGCGAGACTGCTGGCCCTGAAGCATGGGTGAAAGCTAGTGGTGACTATGGGTGTGCTTCAGGAGCAATCTGGTATGGTGGGCTCTGAGCTGCAGCGCAGAGCTGGGTGGCCTGGAGCTGAGCAGCACGGAGCTAGGCACTGGGTGTTCATTTCACTCCACTCCTGCCCTCCACTCCTCCACTCCTGCCTATATTATAATGTATATAAAGGTGTGTTATATGGTTTGCCTGATAGCACAAGAGACCCAGGGAGAACTCTGGCGACATGTGCCAAGTACTTTACTGATATATCTCTGTCATTAAAAATGTATACTTATTTATTTTGTGTGTGCATGTGTATGCATATGTATAGAAACCAGAGGACAATTTGTAGGAGTCAGTTCTCTCCTTCCACCATGTGGATTCCAGGAATCAGACTGAAATTGTCAGGACTGGTAGCAAGTGCTCTTACCAACTGAGCCATCTTGTTATCCCCCCAGTCAGTTTTTGTTGTTGTTCTAAAATTTATTTATTTTTATTTTATCTGTATGAGTGTTTTGCCTGCATATATATAAGTGTGCCATGTGCATGCAATGTCCAAGGAGGCCAGAAGAGGCATTGGATACTCTGCAAATGGAGTGATAGATGGTTGTTAGCCACCATGGGGGCTGGGAACTGAACCTAGGTTCTCTGGAAGAACAGCAAGTGCTCTGAACCACTGAACCATCTCTCCGGCTCCCCAGTTTTCGTTTTTAAGATAGGTTCTCAGTATGTAGCCTAGGCTGGTTTGACCTTGAACTCCTGATTTAGTCTAAGAAATACTGGGGTTGCAGATATGTGCCACAATACCTGGTATAATTTTTTAACACAATAGGTATTTACAGGGGCTGCAGATGGCTCAGTAGTTAAAAGCACTGGCTGCTTTTGCAGAGAACTCAGGTTTGGTTCCCAGCACCCACATGGTGGCTGACAACCATTCATAACTCCACTTCTAGGGGATCTGATACCCTCTTTCAGCCTCCGTAGACATTGTATAACATTGGTGTACTTACATACATGCAGGCAATTCACTCATACACATAAAATAAAAATAATAAAGAAAATATTTATAACAAAACCCCCCAAAATGCCAAAAGGTATTTACATGGATTGAAAGATCAAAACTATGTAAACTGCCCTATACCTTTGCGTCTCCTAATTGAGCAAATCAAATTGCTACACATAGGTGCTTTCTCTTTACAAGTTACAAATTCTCTATTTTTTGGCTTGTGATTCAGACCCAAGATCATGAAGTAAAGAGATCCTTTCTCTGTCTTCTCTATGCCACCTCACTCACATTTTAATACAAGGAACATGGGGAGACAATCCCGGCTCCCTTCTTCAATGTGTGAAATGAATATGTCAAACAAAACAAAACAAAACAAACAAAAAAACCCAAATCCCTCAAAACACTGTAAGAAACTGACAAGTGGGGTCTTCTTGGTGACTTTTACATACCATCAAAAGTACTTTCTTTAAGCAAGGCATGGCGGTACATAAATATTTTTTTAAAAAAGTTTACCTGGTAACAATTCCATTTTCTGCAAGAATGAAGGCTGCAGTAGGATTGGTAGCCCTGATGAGGGTCTGCAGCTGAACAAGAAGTGGGTGCCTCTGCTCCATAGTATGACTGGTAAATACCACGTTATTCACTAAGCCTGAGGAATAAAACAAAACACATTATCAGCTTTTCAAGTTCTGAGTGGGGCTGTGGGCTCACAAACAGGTGGGCCTCTGCTCCTTTCCCTGACCATCCTTTCTTGATGTAGTCATCTCTGCCCCAGCACTGACATACCCAGTTATCTTTCTTTCTTCCCTTCTAGGGACTGCCACATTCTTTAAGAGTTCATGGCTTCCCTCTTAGCTGTTTCCCTTCCTAACCTCATATATTTTCTTTTACTGTTGTTGTCTGGCTTTTTTGGTTTTGTTTTTGAGACAGGTTCTACACTGTAGCCTTGGCTGCCCTGGAACTCACTATGTGGACCAGGATGGCTTGGACTTGTGGTGATTCTCATGCCTTCAAAATGCTGAAATTATAGGGATGTGCCACCACGCATAGCTGGCTTTTTGTTTATCGAGACATGGTCTTACTACAACACAATCCAAACTGGCCTGGAATTCAATATATAGCCCAGGGCAGCCTTGAACTGACAGCAGTCCCCAGGTTCCCATGTACTGGGAATATAAACAATCACCATGCCCAACTTGTTTTTTTCTCTCTGTTCTCTGACTCTCTCCTCTTTCCATTTATGTGTGTGTGTGTGTGTGTGTGTGTGCGTGTGCATGTGTGCATGCACATGCATGAATGAATGTGTACCATAGCATTTGTATGGAGGCCAGAGGAAATTTTTCAGTAGTTCTCTCTTTCTACCAAGTGGGTACTCAGAGACTGAATTCAAGTAGTCAGGTCTAGAGTCAAGTACTTTAATCACTAAACCATCTCAGTGGTCTCTAACTTTACTTGGCTTTCTTAATTCAGATTTCTGGCTGTTATCTGTAGTTCCTGATTAAAGAGCCTTTCCTTATCCTTTACATTCAGCTTTTATCAGAAATTAGCACCATCTGAGCCAGGTGTGGTGGCGCACACCTTTAATCCCAGCACTTGGGAGGCAGAGGCAGGAGGATCTTTGTGAGTTTGAGGCCAGCCTGGTCTATATAGTGAGTTCAGGACAGCTGGTGCTACAGGGAGACCCTGTCTCAAAAAAAAGACACACACACAAAAAAATTAGCACCATTTGTATTAAGCAGCTTAGACCATATTCAGTTTTCCAATTAAGCATTAACACACATCAGATGCAGACCATTATCTTCTCAGAGTACATAGCAAGGAGTCATACAATTCCAAGATTACTGTTAACACATATTCACACAGTGACATGGTATAAGAAAGGGGGGCCCATGTAAGGAATTGTGGAGTGGGCAACAATCACACAATGCTATGTTGGGGACCCCTGCTGTCTAAGGTAGCAGTCTCTACATGTCCGGATAGCCGCAAGTCGGCTCGGTGTTCATGTGCAGAGACTCCCTTTCTCAGCTGGATGCCTTCCTTCCCTCTTCCTGACTCACCTTTTGAAGTGGCTGGCACCGGTGCCC